GCCAACAAGATGGTATTAGTAAGAGCAGAGGAAGATGTATGAGCCTCATTGATGGAATGATTCTGTTTTCATGTGACATTATTAGAAAAGAAAATCTCATCTGCTTGATTAGAATAGTTTTGATTAAAAACGAAATCTCAAAATGTAAAATGTGTTCTGTTATTAAATTACTCCATGGAAAAATAATTCAGCTTTTTGTTTTGTTTTGTTTTAGATTTCCAACTGTTTGGCATTATATGGAAACAGTCTTTCAAACCAGGGAACTAAGGCTTTTTGCCTCAAATTTGTTCAACAGGAGCAGATGTAGTTACTGGAACACCATCTGAAATTATGCTGCCATGTGGTGATAGTCCCACAATCAGACTGACATTTGAGACTGTGTTTCTTTCAAAAATATTATCTTTGCTGTTTGTAACTGCCAGTGAAATCACGCCACCGATACAGATGTGCTATTAGGACATTACACTGAGATGTCTACCTTCCAGAAACATCTGAAATATTCCATAAACCTTTAGTGAGTTGACCTTACACAACCAAATGAGATACAGAAATTCTTTTGAACACCAGAGAGCACTGGGGAGAATACATACCATAATATAAAATCACAACATACATCATATTTCTCTGAGAAACATGCTTATCTCAAAACTTAAAACACCAAGCTTTAATGATCCTGTGCTCATATTTAAACACACGAATACACACAAACACATTCACACACAATGGACCACGCTGAAACACTGAAGCTATAAAGCTCTCATAAAAAATATACCACAAACATGCATGTTGTCTATGCAACCTTTTGTTTCTTTTCCTTATAATTCTTAATTGGTTTTGGCCATAAAAATGTAAAGGCTTTTATCCCACTTAATGCCATATGTTAATAAGGAAGAAAATGTCATATATGTGCTATAAAATGCTATTTTGAAGCTATGCAGCATGTGTTTCTGTATACAGTAGTACCTCATCTTCCTTTTGGTTGAGTCCCTGTTTTAGTTCTTCCACTCGTGATCTCAGTTTTTTTACTTCTGCCTCATCTTGAGCTGCTCGATTGTTTGCATGAGTCAGTTCTGCAATTGTTGCCTGGTATTGTCTTCTTAGTTTATAGTAGGCATGTTGAAGATTCAACAGTTCCTTTCAAAAGAAAACAGGGATTACATTATTTATAATCTACTTTGAAAGTCAGGGAATGGCAACTTCTTTTGACAAAGGAGAAAAGCATGTTAAGAAGAATTCAGATGTCATCCCTTTTATCTGGAACTCTACATTGCTGTAATCAAATATTATGATTAGCATATAACTATAAATGAGAGATATGTTTGTGCATGGCTAAAATGGCTAAAATACAACTCTTTATGTTGTTGAGTCAATGATCCATTCTCCACCTCATGCAAGAGTAGTTCATATGTATGCTTTCCAAAAGAAGAAATCACATATCTACAAATGAAGAATAAAATAATAAATGCAAAAAGAGTTGTTCATCTACTAAATCAGCATATGTATTAAAAGTTAGTACATTATATGCTTTCAATTATTTTTCCAGAGAACAAAGGTTTTATGCTGCTGCAATCATGTTGTCACCTGCTATCCTTTCAGAAACCACACGAATCTGGCTCAGAGACCTGGAGCAAGGGATCCATCATGTGATAAAGAAACAGATGAATCTGTCATAAAGTGATTGAACTGCAAATCAATCTTGTTACAACACCTTACACATATGAATTAACAGATTACAGTAATTGGTCTCAGATTATTAGTAATGTTTCTCACATTTAGTTAAAATTTGCAGTGCAAAATTAATAGTACTGTCATTATAGAAAACATTTTTATTA